GGGTGTGTGGGGGGGCAATGGAAGCTGAGTGATAGCGTCTCTCCAAGTGATTGCCAGAAGTGAGATGCATCCTGGTCTTGTATCTTACAGATAATCTTACAAATAGTCCTTTGCATTTATATCATGGTTTCAACTTTAAAAGGATCATAATGCTGATTGTGTGAACTTAGGCAAATCACGAGAGGTAGAGCAGGAAGGGTTGCATCAATGCTTAGTTCTTGTGGCCCTTTCTTACACACCCAGGGAAATGCTGATCGCCACCACTTTGGGGCCAGGAAGTAATTTTTCTCCAGGCCAGTTTGGCACCTAGTGATCCTGGAGGTTTTTTTTTTTTTATCATATTCTGGGCGTGGAACAGGGGTCACTGGGGTGTGTGGGGGGTATTGGTGAATTTCCTGCATTGTGCAGGGGGTTGGACTAGATGACCCTGGAGGTCCCTTCCCACTCTATGAGTCTATGATTCTATAATTCACCCAGGCTGGCTGTGGACACCCTAGCACCTCTGTCAGGCAGAAGCGCCTGAGATCCTCCCCTTCCCCTTTTCCTTCACCCGACTTGGAGGCGAAGGGAAGGGAGAGGGGGGAAAGAATGGATCCCAGGTGCTTCTGCCTGTCAGAGGGGCTGGTGCACACTTCCGGTGATGTCAGGGTGTGTGGCATATGCTAATGTTATGCTAATGAGCTCCTGCAGCTCTTTTTCTACTAAATGACCCCTGCGTGCCAGTATGCATTTACTAGCAGAGGTTGCTGTGCTGACCATTGCGTTCCCTGACATATGGCAGGAACTTAGGATATGAAGGTTCATGACTAACAGGGGCTGCATAGAACATACTACATACTTTCTGTGCAAGTGATACTACTCCTACTTGCCATTTAACAAGGAATTGTTAAGCTAGTGTAAAGTTGACTCGAAATATTTGGGGGAGGGGATAGGGCATGAGGAGAATAGTTGTGGTTATAAGTGTTCAGATGTTCTACATTTAGAGTGTTGAGAGGGGCTAGAAGTACAGATTCCTGGGGGGCAAATCTGCTAGGGAAACAGGCAAGGTTATCCAGCAGTAATAGCGTCATCTATATATTTCTATATACTAATAGCCAAGGCACCCCCTGCGTGCGGATATCTAAATCTGCACATCGGGGGCACCTAGGGGGCAAAGAGATCTTCCTGCACACTTGGGGCAATCCCCAGATGTGCAGAAAAATCTGAAATCTATAAAAAACTATAGGGGGGATACTTAAATCCCCCCAAAAGTAAAAAAGCATTCCCTGCGCATGTGCAGAAACTGAAAACTGCCTCGCTGCTGCCACCACTGAAGGGGGGGAGAAGGCTTGGCAGGCAGGCCGCCCAGGCCTCACCGCTACCGCGGAGGGGAGAAAGCTTGGCAGACCTTGCCATTGGTACTGGGGGGTGGGGAAGAAGGCTTGGTGGGTCCAGCAGGAGCCGCACAGGCCTCACCGTTGGTGCAGGGGGGAGAAGAATTGGCGGACCTGGCAGGAGCCGTGCAGGCCTTGCCATTGGTGCCAGGGGGCGGGGGAGAAGGCTTAGCAGGCCTGGCAGTTGGGAGCCCTGAGGGCCTCGCTGTTGGTGCAGGGGGGGGAAAGGCTTGGCGGACCTGGCGGGAGCCGTACAGGCCTCGCCATTGGTGCCGAGGGGGGGAGAAGGCTTACCTACAGCTGCTTCCTCCTCCCCCCGCAAGTATCGCAGGTCCCCCTCCTTGTAAATTCTAATCAAGCAGGAGGGGGGCACAGGGGTGGAGGAGGGCACAGGGGTGGAGGGGGGCACAGGGGAAGTCTTTGACTGGGTATCGGTGTTGGTTCTCATTGTCCCTGCATTATACATCTTTCTCTTTATGTGTCGGGGGTAGGGATGCCAGCCTCCAGGTGGAACCTGGGGATCCCCTGGAATTACAGTTCATATCCAAACTACAGGTATCAGTTCCCCTAGAGGAAATAGGTGGACTCTATGGCATTGTACCCCACTGAGGTCCCTGTCCTCCCCAGGCTCCATCCCCAAATCTCCAGTAGTTTCCCAACCTGGATCTGGCAACCCTACACCCTCCACCTTCCCTCACTGGTGGCCAGGGGAAACCTGGCAACCCTAGGAATGGATTGTGGTACATTGTTTTCCTTTCTTCCTTACCTGTGTGGAAGGCATTGGTTTTATAGCCCAATTCCTGGTGGGTGACTCTGGCAGTTATAAACAAACAAACAAAAAATCCAGGTATTAACAACATACCCTTCCTGTGTTTGTTAGATCGGGCTGCTTGCTGTTTGCACAAAATACTCACCGGCTGACCCTGTACCATTCTCTCTCAGCTTGAACTACATCCTGGGGATAAAATGCAGGGGGGAGAACCATGAGTGCTACCCTGATCTTCTTGAGGGAAGGGCAAGATAAAAATACCTGAAGACTATGTTGTCTGTGTCCAGCAGGCATAACCCAAGGATAGGATCACACTCAGCACGCATGAGGCCAAGTGCCGGAGGTACATTTTAAAACCAGAAGAGAGCCAGTGTAACAAATAGAAGCATCACTCAGTTGCAGTCCAAAAATAAAACAGATGTACTGAAGCACTTTTCATAAAATATAAAGGAAATTAAGCTTCACATTTTGTTTTCCATTTTGACACAGAAGAAAATTCCTGAGGGTTTATCAGGAATGGTTGATTACTGTCTCACACCTGAGAATCATCTAGGGAAGTTATTATATATTTTTGTGATGCATAGATTCCAGAAGAGCTTGTTTCTGCTAATTCAGTATCCCTGTGCACATGATATGCAAAAATATACTAATGACGTTGCTGGTCTAACTTTGACAATGTGATGGGTGAGAAATTGTATTTATTTTAGCTTGGCATCAAAATACTGATTTGAAGGCCAGTCTAATTAAAGCAGTTCATGATATCCGAAGGGACAGAATAAATGTCTCTGTGTACATTTGAGACTGAAGGAAGTTCTCTGTCTGTCATGGCTTCAAATGTTCCCTCTCCTTCACCTATAACAAGAAAGAAGAAAAGTTTATCAATCAAGGACAAAATTGATATAATGACTGCAATGGAAAGTGGAATGAAGAAGTCAGATATTGTTGCAAAATATGGCATAAAGAAGAATTCTCTGTCTTCCATTATGAAGAGCAAAGACAGAGTTTTAGAAGCCTTTGAATCTCTGCAATTTGATCCTAAAAGAAAAAGGTTAAGGACTGCATTTTATACTGATCTTGAAGAGGCACTGGTGAAGTGGTATAGAATGGTGCGGGGCTTGAATGTAACAATCAGTGGACCAATGCTACGTCTCAGAGCTAATGACATTGCTCAGAAACTTGGACATAGTGATTTTAAATGCAGCAATGGTTGGCTGGATCGTTTTAAATCAAGGTATGGATTAAAATTCAGATCTCAGCCTGTATTAGCTGCTACTAGTACTACTACCATTTCTCCTACTACTACAATGAATGCTGAAACAGTTTGGTACCAAAACATCCTTCCCTACTACTTAAAGGTTTTTCAACCAAATGATATATTTAACATGAAGGAGACAGGATTGTTTTATCAGCTATTACCTATTAATACTTTTATATTTAAAGGGAAAGAATGCTCAGTAGGGAAATTAAACAACGACAGAATAACTGTACTGGTTGGTACTAATATGGATGCCTCAGAAAAACTTCCTTTGCTTGTCATTGGAAAAAACAAAACTCCCCCCTGCTTTCAAGGTGTGAAGTCACTGCCTGTGGAATACCAGGCAAGTGCTATGGCGTGGATGACTTTGGAAGTGTTTGAGCAATGGCTATGCAAGCTTGACAAGAGATTTCAAGCACAGGAGCGGCAAGTTGTCATTTTTGTAGACTTTTTTCCTGTTCACCCAGAGGTAAAACATTTAAAGTCCATCAGACTTGTGTTCTTTCCTTCTTGCTCATTCTCCAAATTCTCAGCAATGAAACATGGAATTATCAAGAGTATGAAAATCAAATACTGGTACCTTCTTCTTAAAAGATTTGTCGACTGTGTAGGAGGTGGTAAGGAATTAACATTGTCTTTGCTTGAGGCAGTTGATATGTTACACCTGTGTTGGAGAGCTGTGTCTCCAGAGACTATTATAAAAAGCTATAGAGAAGCAGGGTTTACATCACAAGCTGAAAATTCTGATGTTAATGCAGAAGCTGAAAATAATCTAGATTTGGCTGAGTATGCATTGGCTGCAGGAGTAGAGCTTCCAAAAAGCTTGTCTTTGGAAAAATATGCAGCTTTGGATGAAGACTTGCTCACCTGTGAAATGATGACCCCTAAAAGTGAAAGACATTGGGCTAAAAAACACACTTCAAATGCAATTTATGAAGAGCATGAAGGTGTTGCGTTTCCAGGAGATGAACACCCTTTACCATCCAAGAATGAGGCCCTTACTGCTTTAAGCACGCTTCGCAGATTTCTTAGAAGTCAAGACTTGAATGAGTCTCTTCATAACTCCCTGGCAGATTTAGAGAACTGTATTCAATTTGCGGCTTCTAAATAAATACTAAAATGGAAAATATACAGTTCATTTTAAAAATTCCTGATAGTATATAATATAGGACTGTACAATTTGGAACCTATCAAACTGAATGCAGTTCATCGGTTATGCCTGGAAGCATGCAACGGGCAGCTTAGGGATGCCAGCCTCCAGGTAGGACCTGGGAATCCCTTGGAATTACAGCTCATCTCCAGACTACAGAGATCAGTTTCCCTGAAAAGGTTGGATGCTTTGGAGGGTGGACACTATGGTGCTGTACCCACTGAGGTCCCTGTCCTTTCCAGGCTCCATCCCCAAATCTCCAGGGGTTTTCCAGCCTGGATCTGGCGACCCTACCCCCCCCATCCACTGCTGGTGACCTGTCAACCCTAAGGGCTCCACACACTTTGCGGTATTGCTGCCTTCACAAGACTGCAAAAATAGGGGGGGAAGCTTGTCAAGCACCTGCCAGGCTATACTACGTGACTGGTGCATACTCTTCAGTGTTTCACAGATTGATTGATTTATTTTATTTATTGTCAGATTTATACCCCGCCCTCCCTGCAAAGCAGGCTCAGGACGGCTTTGCTTACCTGTGAAATGAAAATAGGAATCTGTTTGTATCCTTTCTATTTTCATAACATGAATTACTGCTAGAGCAGAGCCAGCCTTACTCTGCTATTACACATTGTTGAATGTACTCTACCTGCATGTTCTAATCAGTTTTTTTCAGTGGGCCATCTCTGATGTATGTGAAGGACAAATACCCATAGGAGAGAGGCATGTGGATCAGGGCTACAGTGCTGTTAAAAGAGATGGGTGATTTGATCTCCAATGTCTCATTTAATTTCACTCACAAGCAGTGTTCCCTCTAAGCTGAGTTAGTGTGAGCTAGCTCATAGTTTTTTAGCCTCCGGCTCACACATCTTTGTCCTAGCTCAGGAAGGATGGCTCCAGAGCAAACACATTTATGCAGTACCCAAATTGCTTGCTCACAACTTTAATGCCAGTAGCTCACAAAGTAAAATTTTTGCTCACAAACTCCACAGTTTAGAGGAAACATTGCACAAGTGATATTCAGATTATTACTCTTCAGCCTTAGACTAGAACTGGGTATCTGTGATCATAGCCATGCCTTCCCCTAATGCCATCCCCAGTGGGGTATCCCTTTCACCCCACATCCTTTTCCTAACGTAAATTGCTTCCTGGAATAGTTGGGTGTGACTCTATCACACCCCTCTCAGCACAGGAGAGTCACATTCTTCTTTCTCATGTAGGGCAGGAAATGTGAGATTGCCCCAGAACCCTTGAGGAGATCTCCCATGTCTCATTGGTAGGAAGATATAATAGAGTGTGACTCTCTCATTCTCAAAGCAGTGTGGGGAAAAATCACACTAATGTACAGGTGTTCCTCCCTACAAGAAATAATGGATCATTCCAAAGGACCCTGTGACATTAAAGGAGCCTCCAGGGCTCTCTCTCATTTTTAATGGGGGCAGGATTGGAGGGAATGGGATGAGTAACTCTTTTAAGCTCCTTTGAGACCCACCAATAAAAGTGTGAAAAGGTCATGCTGTGCTCCTCAAGTAGAGCCAAGGATGAGTGGGGGCAGGGAGAAGAAGGGAGCTGTGATATAAACCTGACGTGAGTCCTGAACACGTAATGCTGTACCCAGCACCGCTGTCCTAATCTAAATTGAAGAGGGGTAATATTTATAGAAGTCTAAAGAGATGGGAGATCAGATTCTGGCTCTCCAGTGTCTCATCTACTTTGGCCTGTGGTTTGTCTCCAGGGGTTGCTTCTTCCTTCCCCCTGGAATCCCCCCCCTTCTCTCATCTCCCATAGCCCCCCTTCCCAATCCCTCTGATTTTCCCCTTCCTTTCTTCTCTCTTGGCCAACAGGGGGACACCTTATCTGACTTACATAGAGAACTAGAAAGACAGCTCCTGAATGTAGATCAGACAGCTGAGGGATGATGAGCCAGAACAGGGGCCCTAATTTCTGAAGCTTTCTCAATAAAACCTGTGTCATTGAAACTAGGCCCCCATATGCTTTGAATGCTCCGAACAATATTACGACACCGCCCCCTTCCCCTTTCCTCTCCCTTGCTTTCCCTTTCCCTTCTCTACCTACCCCTTTCTTTTCCTTCTTGCCCTTTCTCCTCCATCCCTTGCCATACATACTTAAGCAAGCTCCCCACACCCTGTGCTTCCTTTGTTATTCCATAATTTCCTTCTTGGAAGATATATCCCCTGCAGTGTCTTGCACAGTCCAGCTCAGCACGCTGCTGGCAAGTAGCCCCCGGTTTCTTCTCTGTATGCCACAAGCAGTCAGTGCCAGGGCTATTTTTGGGCAGGAACACACAGGAACGGAGTTCCGGCTGGCTCCCAAGTTGGCCATGCCCAGCAGGAACTCATTAGCATAATAGGCCACACCCAACAGCAGAAATTCATTAGGATTGGCTACATTAGGGGTGTGTGGCCTAACATGCAAAGGAGTACCTGCTACAAAAAAACCCCTAGGTTTTGACAACAAACAAGGTAAACAGAATAAGAAGCAAAAGATGGGTGTGGCTGGATGACCACACTTCTGGTAACGTGGGTGTGTGGCCTAATATGCTAATAAGCTATGTTGTCAGGGGTGTGACTGGATAGGCTAATGAGTTTCTGTTGTGGGTATGGCCTATTATGCTAATGAGTTCCTGCTGGGCTTTTCGTACAAAAAAAGCCCTGGTCAGTGCTTTTGACACTCATAGCACACGTGGCTGCTGTTGGTTTGGCACAAGGCTGGGGTATTTCTAGGACTGTGACAGGTGTGGAAGAGAGGCAGCTGAAAGAGGGAAAGGGCCGTGACACCACCCCTCTCCATTTACAGAGCTGAAAACTTCTGCCTGCATCCATGTGGAGGACGGGAGAGCAGGAGAAGGACACAGCTGTTCATGTTGCCCTCCTTCCCCACAGACTCTGCATTTAACATCCATGCAATTATATATTCATTATTATTCATCATTGTTCATTTATCATATATCTATTAAAATATTTTACTCATTTTATGCTGTTATAATTCATTATGTATTATTCATTTATTAATCATTAATTAACTTATATTACCCTATGTTTTAATTCATTTTATGCCATAATTATTCATTGAACATTATTGATTGATAGTAATATGGCATATATTCACATTAAAAACTTCTGAATTTTGTATCTAGCCTTTGGATGCCATTTAGAATTCAGTGTGTTTGGGGTTTTTTTAACCACAAGCAATGTTCCCTCTAAACTGTGGAGTCTTGTGAGCAAAAATTCTACTTTGTGAGCTCCTGGCATTAAAGTTGTGAGCGAGCGATTAGGCTGCTGCATAAATTAGTTTGCTCTGGAGCCATCCTTCCTGAGCTAAGACAAAAATGTGTGAGCCGGATGCTAAAAAACTGTGAGCTAGCTCACACGAACTCAGCTTAGATGGAACACTGACCACAAGTTTTTTAATTTCTATCACAGTCCATGTTTTTTTGTTTCATTGGTTGGTTTGATAAATTTTGGGGTAGATCCTCGATATAAACAGTGCATAAAAATGAATACCATTTGAACAGCTATCCAAATGGAAGATGTCCTAGCTAACATTAATGGTTTCTTAATGCATGAAGATAAGACTAAAAAAGATAAAATTCAAAAGGGCAGTATCCTACAATCCATTTCTCCCGTGTTCTTCTGCATTGCCACAGTTCTTTCCAGCCTCTGGAAATATCATTCCTGGGATTACCAGATCCGTGCAGAGGAACAGCCATGTGGGTCAGTGTGCTGGAGGGAGAAGGGACAAGTGGATCAAATTGCCCCCGTCCTCAGCAGAGCAGCACATGCAGAACAAGAAACGGAAGAAATTTCAACTCCCTAGCCTTCCTCACTGCAGTCTTCCTAGGGATGCCACCTCCAGGTAAAACCTGGGGATCCTCTGGAAGTATGGCTTATCTCTAGACTACAGAGATCAGTTCCCCTGGAGAAAATGGATGCTTTGGAGGGTGGACACTATGGCACTGTATCCCACTGAGGCCCTTGTTCTCACCAGGCTCTACCTCCAAATTTCCAGGAGTTTCCAAACTAGGAGCTGGCAACCTTACCTCCCCACCCCCTGCCAGTGGCCAGGGAGGACCTGGCGACCCTCCCCCTAATTGATGATTCTCCCCCTGGACTGATCCATCCAGGGGTCAGAAAAAACCTCACCAAAGTAGAGGAATACAGGAAACATACACATTCCTCATACACACTAGTAGAATGTTGCTCAAGGAAATTGCAAGCAGTTGGAGAGAAAATCATTATAAAGATATTTATAACTGGCATTTTATTCTGCTACAGTTAAGTAAATCCCATGGATTATCACAAGCATGTTGGGATGGGCAATATCCAAAGCAAATATCTGAGGTGGACTTGAGGGAAATCAAAGAATACTGAAAGGAAATACCAGAAAATATTGAATTCATAATCTCAGCTTCCATCCTGATGTCTCTTCCAGCCTGATGCCCCCAAATACAAAGATACACAGTGAAAGCACCATCCTAAACAGAGTTAGGTAAAGGTAAAGGTTCCCTTGCTCGAAAGCCAGTCGAATCCGTCTCTAGGGTTGCGGTGCTCATCTCCGTTTCAAAGCCGAAGAGCCAGCGCTGTCCGAAGACGTTTCCATGGTCATGTGGCCGGCATGACTAAACACCAAGGCGCACGGAACGCTGTTACCTGCCCACCGAAGTGGTACCTATTTATCTACTTGCAGTTTCTTGCTTTTGAACTGCTAGGTTGGCAGGAGCTGGAACTAGAGACAGGAGCTCACTCCGTCATGCGGCAACTCGGGTCTTGAACTGCTGAACTATTGACCTTCCACAGCCTGCAGCTCAGCGTCTTAACCACTTGAGCCACCGCAGTTACACGTTTCTAAATTCATTGAAGTCATAACGAGTTGTGTTTTTCTTCCACAAATCCTTCCTTCCACAGAAGCAAAAATGTTTACCACCATTAATTAGATTTGATTATGTG